CCCTCTGAGTCTGGTGGTGACCTACGCCACTGCCGTTGTTGTTGTTGTTGTTGTTGTTGTTGCTGCTGCTGCTGGTGGTGGTGGTGGTGGTGGTGGTGGTGGTGTTGCTGGTCAGGTGGCTGCGGCGGTGTTAGGGGCGGTGGCGGCCCGAGCGGTAGCCGTGGCGGCGGCCGTCGCGGTACCGGCGGTGGTGGTGGCGGTTCCTACTCTTAGTCTTACCAGCATGGCGTAATAGAAGCGCACCTCGGCGCCCAGTGCACATGCGAGAGACGCAAGTTTGCGTACAACAGCGGAATACCCATCATACGCAGGACATGAAGCTGATGCGGTCCATGCTGCTGAAGAAGATTCCATGAGCCCCGTCATAACTAAATAATATCAGGGTCGTGATTTTCGAGATGATTTCAGTGAAACACCTCAACCATTTAGATTCGCGCGAACTTCAAGACCCGCTCTGCTATTGCATGCTATTGGCAGATTTAACTCAGGCTATGTTACGTTAGCCATCTCATCGGCTTCATCGACATATGCTGTCAGCCGCAGTTCCTGCCTTGGGCTGCAGGAAGTTCCCGAAGCGCGGTCTTAAGTAGGAGCACGTGCAAATACTGAGCAGCATGACCACGAGGAGGCCCTGGAAGTCAAAAAGGGCTGACATCCTCGCAGTCTCTCGCTGTCCACTGACTGCTCCTCATCTCTTCAGAACTACATAGGCTCAATCATGGCCAATGCTTGACTGAAAGCGCCTGCTTTTTGCAAAGAAAAGCTGGACAGGCTGCAGCTCAGATTCGCTTGGAGCAGCCAGAGTCTTCCAGGCACGCTTGAGCTGAAAGGCAAGGGTCAGATGTCAACAGGTTCCAAAGAGCTCATGGTCTGCCTTGCGAGCCTACTTGCCCAAAAGTCTTCACACACGCTCATGGAAGCAAGCACCCCTAGTCACTACCTTCTGAGGCTTCAACCACACCAACGGCGATACCGCCTCGCCTGAACCTACGGAGCGGCTTGAGACTGTGTACTCAGAAGTCCGACTACAAAGCGCCCAATCGCAGTCCAGGAGCTGAGGACAAGATCAGTGGCAACATCCTCGGGTACAGTCACTCCAAATGAGCTAGCTACTAGCCATCGCCACAACAAATTGAAGCTAGCTGCAAGGATGTCACCCCCATGAACGTGCGGATCACCGCCGACCTTGCCATGCCGGTGCAGGACAATGTTTCACTTTGTTCTCATTTCAACAGCATATTTGAGCAGCAAATCAGAGAAATTATGGTCTTTCTAAGTTAGCCGCCGTGCTCCAGGTCGGGGCCTTAGTCGTTGGCAGGGCGCGGATGTCTTGTGCACACATGAGATGAGCTTGGAGCGAGAATCTCGTGATCCTGTCAGCAGTAAGGGCAAACTCTCAGAGATGCTGGGAAGGAGCAGAGGTAAGTTGCGGCTTGCTCTCGCACTCTTTGCACAAAGCAATCCCAATAATGCAGCTGAGGATTTGGGTTCAATACCGCCCTGAGCTGAAGTCTATGTACATGTATGTACAAGCAGATCACTAGATCATGCATTAATGCCAGGAATGGGTGGTCCCACATCCAGCTCGAGCTGGAAATCGAGTTCATCCCACTCAAGGCCCTCAACCTCAAAATACGCGTCACTTGCGTGTTGTCGCAGGAACTCATTGAGGATGCTCGCCTCATACTGGCCAATGTCATGACCCACTCCTGGAAGGTATATGAGGATGCTCTTGCTTTCGCGCGGGCTGGTCTTTGCTTCATGCGTTTCCATTGCACAGCTGTTGAGGTCCAGCAAGCTCAGCCTGCATAGCCTTCCGCTCAAGCCCTTGCACCAGCTTGTGGGCAGCTGAGTAACAGATGAAGCTGGTCAGTTCCGGAGGTTTCGCTCAGCGCGTGTTCAAACACAACTTTCTAGGAACAGCTGGCAAGGAATCTGCTTAGATGGCTCTCCTGTGACCTCCTTCATCTGGAGGCCCGGCCATCTGCTGTGGGCTGGCCGCATTGAGGATTGCACCTCACAAGGATCACACTGGCTTCTGGACGTCCAGTCTTATCTGCTCAGCTGACCAGGTCATACGGAACTTCCTCTGCATCTTCGGGTGCGCTTTGCAGCCAGGCCGGCTGAAGCACCTGCCAACGCTTCAACTTGAATTAACTTGAGAGATTACAGCGAGCACGAGCGTTCAGCACCGTACATGACAACACATGACTTCAAAGAAAGCCGCTCAACAAATGAATGCTCGAATGCAAAGGCTGTGCTTCTCCATGTTGCCTGCTGGCTGTCAGCAAGCAGCTTCCTGCAGCCATCCATGGTGAAGTCTGCTTGCGTGAAGAAGGCAAAACGCTGACGCGGTCCGCAGCGCCGAGTCCGAATCAGGGAAGCCCAGGTGGTCGCTGGGACGGAGGCCGACCTATTCATGAACAGAGCTACTCCAGCACGTC